TAAAGATTTACTAATGTTAAGCAGGCTTAAAGCTTTCAACTGCTAAACTAAATGCCACTCTAGACATGCTGATTATGCAACATACTAGAGGTTGAACAAGGTCTATTTAATATATTTTTTTATATAATACAAGAGAAAATATTTGAAACTTTGATGGCCCCAGTGCACATTTATTTATTTATTTAGTTAGTTTGTCTACAAATTAGTGGTCAGTTACTCATTATTATAAATATAATATTCATACAAATCACTTTTATTATATAAATAAGTGAAGGGGAATAATATTGTTTGCTAACGTCTCATTCATCTTTTCCCTTTCATTTTGCCTTCTTTTTTAATTGGTCTGATTGAAATAAATGACAACTGTCGAGGCTCATGAGTAAAGCTCACTGAGGCCAAAATGTCATAGTTGATATGCTCATAGTTCAGGCTTTTTCTTTTATAAAGTAAACTCTACACAAATGTCTGACAAAATGATTGCCTCAGAACAAATAGCTCTGGTGCTTTGCTTTCTGTAATAGCTTTAAATAATATGCTTCATTATTCTTGTCTTTTTTTGAATATAGAAAAAGGTTAATCAACAGTGCTCAACAAACAGCATTACAATGGCCACTGTCATCGCAGACCTGTCTGGAGTGTATTCATAGGCTAGAATATTTAGCATTAAGCTACCACTGTGGAGACCTATTGTGAAGAGATTTTTTTTTTCATCTTGTTAGTTCATTTCCTCTCAAATCTCTGCAGCTAATTGGCAGCCTCAGTAGAAAGTGTCAGCCAGTGGAAAGTAGACTTCAACATTTTGAGACCAGCACCATGTGTCTGGAGCTCATGCCTCTCACCAACACCACTGACCTCTACGCTAAGTCAAGTATTTGGAAAAAATATTTTTTTCTCATGTTTTATTTCTGATTGATTGTGTCTATAGAGCACAACAAGTGTGTTCCGGACACTAAAAATCCCATTCATTTTCTCCATTGACAAATACTGTAGATTTGAATGATTCTGTATAAACCTTTCAAAACAGATGTACTATGAGCTCAGAGAGTTTTGGTTTGTGGTATATGCTTCTGTTGAAACCATCAGTAAGCATAATATCAACTTCATCTCATTTTAAAATCATATTTAATTTTTATACTTTTAACTAATGACTTTAAATTAATTGTGTTTGATTTGATTTACATTGTTTAAAAGGCTTCATGGGATTGTAGTTAATTTATTCATAAAAGATGTTAAGCACAGTCTTTTTTCTTAATTTTCACTGACATTTTTTCTTCGAATTACAGTTTGTAATGTTGTAATTTATCTTGGAGCTGGTTGGTTTATTTAATGGCTCAGAACTACATTTAACTTAACTGTGTTAGATTTAGGAAGTAGATTTAACTGTATTGAAGAATATTTTGAAATCCCAATGAAAAAATTAATGGGAAAAATATTTCCAGAACCGAGACCACTAAGGACCACTAAAAGTTGGGGATTACTGTTATACGCTATCGTTATACAAATGTATGTAGGCAAAACTGGAACGAGTGAAGTATGTATCAACCAACTCTAAAGTTAGTTTTGTTGAACCATCAGGATATTATGTCTTTGTGTTTGTGATGATGAGGAGACCACAAGTGATGCATTGTCCTTTTCTTTGTCCTTTAAACTGTAGATTTATGGTGCATTTTGTCAAGACCCAAGGTTCTTATCTTAAGTTGCACCTACTTTGAAAACAATGCTTAAGTAGTTGAAAACAGCATTTAATTTTCATTTACTGCTCTTAAACATGTTGTAAATATGCCAATGGCTGTCATTTCTTTTAGACACAGATACAATTCTGGGGTATTGCTGTAATTCCTTTGCTCTTTCCAGTGTAGACCAATAAGATCTCTAAATGACATCTCTCCATAAAGGATAGCACATCAGCCCTCGCACTCAGAGGTTCACGGCATGAACACACTCCACTAATGTCTCTCATTTTAATAATGGATATGAGTGAAGAAATACTCCCTGCCAATGAAGTTACTGTCATCATTTAGCCTGCATACTGTAAGCGATATGCACACATCCTCGTTGAATGTGACAGATTTAAATCAGCCAGGAACAAAGACTTGTTCTGGTGCCCTTGTGCATTTCACTGAGCTTCACCACCATAGAGCTGTGTGAATAATTGCTCCAGGCCGATACACTGTTTTATGGATAGTAATAAGTAATCTGTCCACTTCTCTTTCAGGGAATTCAGTCTATTTACCCTGAACTTTGCTGCTTGTGACATTTCTAGGACACTACTAAGTTAATTGTTCACCCAATAATGAAAATTCGGTCACCTCATGCCACTTTAAACTTGTCTGACTTTCTTTGGTGTGTTTTTCTTATTCTAACTATTCGTTTAAGGATGTCAGAGCAGATGTGTAAAGAAATGTACACTAGAGCTGTCCAGAATTGTCAGCTCAAGATGAGTTTTTGGCCTCTTACTCTTCATTTAACGTAGATTAAGTCAATGTTTGAGTCTTAGTACATTATACAAAATAATATATGCATGCGAAATGAATCCACATTGCTCACTTAAACTGAATCTTGTTGTGTAACTTTTCACAGCACATATTGTATGGACTATTGTACGTTAAAAAATAAAGGTTCTTTATTGGCATTGATGGTTCCTTAAATAATATTTAGCATTCATGGAACCTTTCCATTGCACAACAGGTTCTTTAGATTATAATGATCTGCAAAAAAACAAAAGGGGAACCAAAAATGTTTCTTCTATGGCACGACTGAAAACACCCTTTTGGAACCTTTATTTTTAAGAGTGTAAAAAAACAAACCTGTCCCCCTTATTTGAATCGATTTTCATTGGCTAATTCAAGCAGACGATTCAGCTTATTTAAATGAAATCTGTTTCTCTGCATACTGAGTGGTCACTGAAATGGAACAAGTAACGAAACCTACTGATAATTGCAGCATTTGGGAGGCTATACTCTGATTGGTAAAAGTGTTTCTTTGGGCTCTCTGGCAATTATCTGTGTGGATCTGGTGCTGTAATTTTTATTAAAAGCTACCTATGATGAAAATCCTCCATGAAGTCTACATTATTTGAAAACTTTGTGTTCTAGACTCAATTTAATATAATATTAACATAAAAACATCAAAGTGTGACTGTGTGGCTGCATGTCAAGGTCATTTACTTACTATACATTTTATATTAGATATGTGTAATCAGTTGTTTTTTTAAAGTAGATTTAACTGTAATACTATGTAGTTTCTCCATCTAATATACTTACAGGTACAATCAGGAACAGTTGAAACAAACCCATTTGAGAGAATGAATTATATTTGAAATTATATTTATATGAACTATATTAAATTATAGTTATATTTAAAATGAAGTTAATTATTGAGGCTAAATCTCTTGACAGGGTTTCAGGGTTTCTCTCCTGTCTTTGATTAATAACTTTAGCCTTTGCTTTGAAGTTTACGGAGTATCTGATTTTTATTCTAATGACTATTTGATGTCTTTGTCTAGGCAAAACTGTAATAGTAGATTTTACCCTATAGTGAACAGATTCTAGTGCATAGGTTCTTTCTACCCTTTTTAATTTAGCCAAAATATTATGTAATCTACGGCCCTTTGTACTGTAGATTACATAATATTTTGGAAGTGTGCACCCCACACTTTGTCAGGAAGAGACATTTCTGTGTCCATGACGTTGATTTCCCTGGCACATGTAGCAAATTATTCCTTACACCTATGTAGATTTGAATGTTCGTCTTATATGTTTTCCTTAATTGGACCGATTGGACTGGTAGTTTACACCTTTTTCTTAGTATAAAATAATAAATAATTACACTATAAAAATTTATTGGATTGAACTAAACAATTAATTAAATTCTGGAGCTTGACCTGGACGATTTTTTTGTGAAACTGTGCTTATACACACACTGTGAATGCATCATGTGTCATCAGAGAGTATATTAAACAATGGTTGTTTATCTCAAAAGAAAACTATAGCATAAATTATATTGGGGACTATTAATCCCGATGTACATTCCGTCTCTTGGTAAATATTAATTTGAGTCATAATGGGTTTGGTTCATATCACTCTGCTTAGTAATGTGTTTTTTAACCATCTTTACTGGTGCCATTGATTTGGGTGTGAAAAACAGACAAAATCCCTTGTGTTTAAGGCAGGGATACTGGTTAGAATGCCAAACCTTCCGTACCGACAATGACTCAACTGATACGGTTTAAAAGTAGAAAGTCAAATTAGATGACACATTCATCCCAAAATTGACCAGTAATTGCACTATGGATTAACAGTGAATCTGTTGCTAATGTGCAACAAAACACATTTAGCCTTGTGGAAAGTGGGTCATTTGTGATTTACATGAATACAAAGGCTAAATATTAACACTGGACTAACATTTTGTTAATTGACATCAAACCTGTCAGCTAATGCCTACTGTAAATAAAATTGGATCACTACAAGACTTGTGATTAATTTATTTGTTTTTACACTCCCTGTATTAGTAATCTACCGTATTTCAAACATATTGTTTATTGTTGTTTTTGGATGCAAGCCATGTAAGTGCAGTTTTTACATGGAATGTTAGTTCCAGATATGTGAGAAAATAAGAGTTGGGTGCTGATTTGTATATCATTGCTATTAATAGATGATAGATGATGAACTATTTTTGGCATGATGAACAAGCATAGGCTCAGCCCATGTGAGGATAGTTTTATAACAAGGCAAACAAACATTTCAACACCAACAACAACATTTTCCAGCCTACGCATTCTTTTTTATACATAGTCCTTTTCCTATTTTCATTTCAGTAGCCTAAAAATTATTAATTTCATTTTAATTTCCCAAGAGTTGGCTAATCGATTTAGTTTATGGTGTGAAATAAAGGTTCCAGGTCAATTCTCATTAAGTGTGACGCTATTTTTCGCTCCTGTCGCTTTAAAGGACAAGAATCTCCTTCTGTTTTATAGCTGACGCGCGCTCACAGACTGTCTGTGTGATGGAAGTGTGGAAGCGCAGATTCATTTCTTCTGACTCTGGACTTACAGAATGATTCTTTTTGCCGAGAAGCCGAGCGAGACAACTTCTCTCATTTACTGAGGAAACTGAATTGGCGTACAGCACCTTTGAACACGACCAAAGGAATTCAAATAATATTCCTTATTGCTCAAGAACATGTTATTCTGAACGGTATGATGGTGAGTATTTAATATATTAGTGAAATTATGTTGCATGTCTGTATACTATACCTCTGAACCTATATATATATATATTTGTATTGAAGTAGGGACACCAAATCTATAGATACGGGTTTTCACTTATAGGCTAAGTGACAAAATATGATAATCTCTGCCTATTGAATTTCTCATACTGTTATGCTCATAGTTCATAACCGACACTGCTTTACATGCAAATGAATTTAGGTTGTTCATATGCTTGGCGTGACAAGTTTTTATCGGTCTAATTCTGTCTGTGCTGTGGTATTTAGTAGGTATGAATTATGAATAATCTCAGAACTTCCAATGCTTGACGTTTTGACTAAATGTCATTAGCAGTTCTCGATCGGAATCAGTAAATAAAATCTCAGCAAAAGGAAACCGACTTAATATGCAAGTATATTTGAAACTGTTAGGCTATATCCCTAATCAAAGATGTTCATATAACAGCAATAAGGTACGAGATGATGTGCTATTTGTGTGTATAGTCGCGGTTTAAGTTGTTAGGCACGCGCAGCCTTTTAACTGGTCTTAAATGTACCTAACCGGTGTGATTACATTTGTTATTAACATGATATTTATTTTTTATAGCTTTGTGTATATTAACCGTTTGGCGCATTAAAGTCTGATTGAACTCATTATTTCACAGAGCTTGAAATCAGTTAACTCTGACTCTGCAAACGAAACTACAGCACGTGCCGTGGGATAAAAACCCAACATGTCTCAACAGACAACAGACGACTTCTCTCGTACAGTCCGGCCGGTTCTATCCTTAGCCAGAATATATAAAGTGTGTTTTAATAGGCCTACGACGAGTGTAATACGCCTATATCAAGGAAACGAGTCCCTCACTTCAAACAAATGGCTGTGTGGTAGCCTAAATAGAAATATATTCACTTTCTCAAAGTTTCACCATGTTAATATTTAGTGCAATCTCAGCCTGCACAGCACAGGGGTTTTTGATGAAAATGAAAAGCTGATGAAAACAGGCTTGTTATTACAGTAAAATATGCTATTAAAACGTCAACATTAAAAATGACCCATACAATTTAACATTTTATAATCGGAAATCTTTGAAATAGTAATTGTTGTTGTTGATATTTGTGATAGAGAGAGAGAGAGAGGAGTGTGACCAGGGTTAGAATTTATCTAAATTGTAATGTGATAGGAAGTCACTAAATAAAAAAATAAAGGTATTTACCTTCTTCCTCTTTATTTAGGCTAATTACGTTATTACTGGCATTCTGGGCTCATGCATGACAGTTATTCCTTCTGGGCTGTTTCTCAGAAAATGCTGCCATCTGTTTTCCCCTGACTAACTATTTTTATGTAAATACCTGAAAAATCAGAGATACTGAACTTAGTCACTTTTATTGTACAAAATATGTACATAATTCATCACCATTACATTTAAATGTTATATAGAAAAAAAATCTATGCCTACGTTTTTGTTTATTTGTATTTAAATATCATGCTTGCACTAACAATTTTTACATTCATTTTTATAATATTTTCAAAATGTTAATTTAAAATTATGTATGAATTATTACATAAAATTGAACAAGTTTGAATGAGTGAATGAAAATGAATTGTGATGTAATGTAGCACTTTAAGATTAGGATTAGTGTCAATAAATAATATAAACACAATGCACTAATTGCAATACTGAGGTGGGAAATTATGATTTCTGATAAGTCTGAGATAGCCCATCTTTATTGATATGAGTTAGATTATACTATTTTATTATGCTTCATATTAATATATTCTCCTCTACTGGCACCGTTTGTGGTCAAATATGAAGCAATTTATATGAGCTGAGTGTTAAAAGGGGGGTGGCCTTGTCACCGCAGCAGGGGCAGAAAAATATACAGTGATAATGTTTTTCAACACTTCATAATAACCATTATAATTAATAGGACTGTGTGTGTTCATGTGAACGCTTTCTGCTCTAAAGTGAAAGCAGCTAATAAAATCCCATCCTTGAGTCATTTATGCTCACACAGTCAAGAGTTTAGTCTCTCAAATCATCATTGATTGCTGATTAGGGCATGCATACAATAGTTTTGTCTGCCAGCCTTGACAAGCCTTGCTTGATTTGAAACAGAGGAAACAATTACAGACACTAAGAAACAAATTGTATCCGTGATTTGGCTTGCAGAATCGTCTGCTTGTCATGACAGTTCACGGAAAGACCGAAATATGCCGAAAGACCTGAAGAAAGCTATGTCCTATTTGATTATGCACCCTGTTTTCAAGTGCCAAAGGGTTTTATGGCCCTTACATTTTTGGATTGTCTTAAAATATTTATGTTCACTGTGTTCTCGCCGTATACCAGCATCAGTGTTTGATTTATTCCTGGATCATACGATGGTGCCGTTTTGATCATCTTGTTCTGTATTTCACTACTTTGGATTATGCCAGACTTATCCTGACCACAACAACTACAACATTCCTACAGCTGTGGGTCTCAGGAGTGTCTTGCATTTGCCTTTACCAGAAATAGAAGTAACTAGACTGTCTATTTTCAGATGATGTGTTAATGATTATTGTGAAACACATGTTGTCAGAGAGTGGATGTGCGGTGTGGTGGGTTGAATGTTGGGTGAATATTGCAGTATTTCACGGTTCACTGAACGTCCACTGTATACTCAGTTTGGAGAAACATACCAGAAAGTAATTCAACATGATTTTCTCATTTAAATCGCTTGAAAATAAAGGTGTTGTTTTTGTCGTTAAAAGTGACGTTAACATTTTGTGAGTTTTCTGCACTACAAAGGCAAAATGCAGATTCAGAGTAAAAGTGAGTGCATATCAAAACAATCAAGAAAACAAAACAAAAATAAACATGTCATTTTCTCTGTGTCAGTGTTTTGCCTTTGTAAGGCAGTATTACAGTCTGAATCGTAATAGGAAATCTATTATTTACTCATTTTAGGAGCACAAATCAAATTGTGGTGTAAAAGAATAGGCACATAAAATCTTGGATAGAGGACTTGGACATTTGGGAGTTACTATATGTTCTTACCAACACACTCTTTTTGTAACTATTTAGTTTGTAACTATTTTACATTTTGGCAAATCAGTGGTGACTTCATAAGAATTTTTATGATTTCGGTCATGCGTTTTTGTGCATTCTTCTTACACCCCTCTGAAGGTTAGGTTTAAGAATGTACCTTAATTCTTAGTTATTATCTAAAATTGTACAAATGTAAAATAGTTATGTTTTGTCATGAGATTAGTTTGGTATGTACTCTGTTTTCTAGCGAATACTGTTCAAGTCACTATATGATTATTTCGCACAATTTTGCACAATCAAATACAACTGTTCAATATAGAACAATTTGACCCCTCTGAATGATAAAGTTCTGGCTTTCTAAAAAAGGTTGATATTCCTAAACTCCAAATGCTTTTGTGGAACTTATTGTCAGTTATAAAAAATAAAATAAAATAACTGATTTGATTTTGAATATTTCTGAATCACTCTCCAAACAACGGCTGGACTGCATATAAGCTCACTGAGGATGCATTACAGTCCTGTAGATATAAACAAACTGATACGGCTAATGGAATATCCACTTTTTTACTTTTAGACCCTTGAACTTTGTGACTGGTTTTGGGAAACCATTTTTGATGTTCATAGATCACTCAAGGATGTAATATAGGAATGTTAAACAAGCTGCTTTGAACAAAGAGTGTGTGCCATTAAATTTAGTACAAAGTCCTGTGCTTCAGTTCTTTAATAGATCTCCAAACATGCCCATTCTGCATTCCAGTTCTCTGAGCAGAGAACAACACTCACCCATCAAACACAATACAGACCTTTGATGATTTATATGATTTATATTTGGCTTGTCAAACTATCAAAGCAACATCTAAATCAAACTAGCCAGGAGTTTAAACCAGTGGCTATCTATTCTGTGCTGGGTGAGCCACAGTTCTAGCAAAAATGCCTTTTGCAAACCGCTGTGAACTTTGCCGTATTCTGTATTTGTTCACATTCGCATTGTGTAGAAAATGACAGGAATATGATGCTGGACACTTTGTTGATAGTGCAAGTCCGATGTAACCCTTAAAAATTAATTAAAGTAATAGTTCACCGAAAAATAAAAGTTTAGTGAAGGCCATCCAAGATCAGTACATATTTGGAGAAATTTAGCATTATATCACTTGCTCATAAATGGATCCTCTGCAGTGAATGGGTGCCGTCAGAATGAGTCCTTACAGCTAATGAAAACATTCACTGGCACCCATTCACTGCAGAGGGTCCATTAGTGAGCAAATGATGTAATGCTAAATTTCTCTAAATCTGTTCTGATGAAGAAACAAACTCATCTTCATCTCAGAGGGCCTGAGGGTGAGTATGTTTTCAGCAAATATTCATTTTTTAGTGAACTACTCCTTTAAAAAGTGCATAGATGCCACAGTAGACCGTAGGATATGTTGTTCACTTACATGGGTAATAAATGGTGTCTGGTGCATTTGAGGTCAGACTGCAGGAAGCCTGCGAGTTGTGTAAACAAGAATATAGCCGTAGCTAATCTGGCTCACTAATGCTGTTGCTGCTTTTAAGGTTTAGTTGGTGTTGCACTTATCAGACACACACTGTTAGTATGTGAAGGTCTTTGAGTGCAGGACTGACGAAAACATATTACTCTGGAAAAAAGAGAAAACAAACAAACAAAAAAAGTAACTCTTCTTTCTGTTTCTCTCAGAGCTTTAAGTGAGGGGCAGGACTCTTATAAGTCGCCGATCCCAAATTCTATTTGGGTTGAATTTCAAGTAATGTGAAAAATCAAGATGTACTGATGCTTTCCTTAACTTGCATTGATTGTTTGCTGAAATGCATGAGAATTCAGTTAAAAAACATGTTTTTCTTATAAATAATGGTTACATTAATTATTATGATTATGACTGATTTCCAGCAGCTCTGTGATGTTGTGCCTGAGCCGTGTTGTTCTGTTAAAGCTGTTGCGTGTCTTATGGAAACTGGCATGCCTGGAATAAAACACATTTGCCAGCTTAACTGGCAGGCGAGTGCTCTCCACTTGCCTTTAAGAGTTGTATTGTCTAATGCCTCTTTTCTTATCCTTAAATGGTTGCTTGTGAAATGTCGATTGGTGTGCCATAAGGGTTGGCAAACTGATGTGATTTATTTTAGAGTCATTTGACTGTGTCCAGGGTTTTGTGTAATTATATTTTTGGCTGGGGCACAAATGGATATCCTGGGTTAAATATGCTCTATGAATTAATCAAAAGAACCTTTAAAGGTGAAGCAGTATAAACATTGCAGAATTGGTTTCTGGCCTTCAGGACTTGTTGTGTACACTCTTAAAAATAAAGGTGCTTCACGATGCCATAGAAGAACCTTTTTGTCTAAATGGTTCCATAAAGAACCTTTAACATCTGAAGAACCTTTCTGTTTCACAAAAGGTTCTTTGTGGCGAAAGAAGGTTCTTCAGATTACAAAAAGGTAAGAAAGAGATGGTTCTTTAAAGAACCTTTGACTGAATGGTTCTTTGTGGACCCAAAAATGGTTCTTCTATGGCATCGCTTGAAGAACCTTTTGAAACACCTTTATTTTTAAGAGTGTAACTCTATCCCACTTAGAAATTATATGTTTAAAAATGTGCCCAGAACTATCATGGTATCATGACAACACAATCGTTACATAAATAACGACTGATGACATCTGCTCGAGATACTTTAATGAGGTGCTGTCTCAAACATCTGGTCTTAGAGGCATAGACAACTGGGGAAAACAATGCTAAATGCAATTAAACTAAAATGCAATTATTAAGTAAAATGGGCAATTTAAAAGGGAGGAGAAAACACTTCCCTTATGTTTATCTGTTGATATTACTGTGTTTTGGCATAAATTCATCTCTCACTTGGCCCTCATCTTCATCAAAAAAAAAAAAACTAGACAAAACCCTAAACAAAAAAAGAAATAAACATGGTTAATCATGGATTGTTCCAAACAAGTTATACAAAAAAGCATGACACTATTGAAATTTTAAAGACATTTAGATACTAAAATTGTCAGTTGTTCTATTAGTATCCAAACATTTGGTTACTGAAAACTAGTTTAAAACTACTGCTTAATTTTACCACTATTTAGTGAAATCTTTAAAGGAAATATTGCCAGTTTTCACGTTTATATAATCAACTTAATAATATAATTATGTATAGTTATATATATATAGTTATCATAATTATCAACTCAAGCAAAACTCAATCAAAAGTTTTTCCCTTTTCATTTAATTACTGAAATTACAGACGAAGTTTAGGGAGGAAGTAAACTGTGTTTCTGTTCCCCTAACAATGTGATGAGAGTGATTTACATGGGTGACCACTTCCTGAATTTCCTTCTTTAAGTCCTCCGTGTAGGTTGTGTTTATATACCCTCAGCGCTTTCCAACCTGGTTAACACAAAACCAACTAAATTATTCAACACCAATCTGATCATACATGATTTAGCAGGACACTCCTTTACACATCATCTGGGTTAAGCATATACTGTTTCCTCCTTTTGAGCACGCTTGAAGAGACTTCAGTCAACTGTTTCTCAGGAAAGGAGTTAAAATGACCTTCCTCCTTGAACCATTATCGATTGAGCTGAGATTTAGCAGCAGAGTCTGGATTGTGTTGTCTGCTGAAGGGCTCAGTCACCCAATTTTGACAAAAGCAATATTTATTTTTAGAGAAACTACAAATCCTTTATGTGGTTTCCTCATCCATAATTCATGTTCTAATCCAATGTATTTTTGTGAATTTCAAGTGAATTTTCTCTGTGGATTTAATTTTTCTGTTTTGCACAATGTTAGATTTCAGTAATTTTAGGGTTGGTCTGATATAGCCTAATGATAATTAATAATATTAAAAATTGTATTGCCCATAAATGTCTGATATTCTATACTATTTTAAAATTCTATACTAACTCTATTAACTTAAAATGCTAAAATGTAAAAAAAATGACAGCATGAAAATGAGATTTGTTCAAGATTACATGCAGTGTTATTAAATATTTAATGTTTGCAAATATTACATTGAATACATTTTTATTGGCAGGTTTGGTGTTTCTGAAGTTACTGTCAAAATCCTTGTTTGGATTATGTAAAGACTGAACTACATACAGGTATATGTACATGTGTAGGGAAAAAAGTCACAGACATTTACTTAATGAAAACCGAGCAGTATTTTGGTTGAAGTTAATGCAGGTGTGGATCAGAAGGAGTACTTTCATGTATAATGTTTTATTGCAGAAGATTTAATAAGGCCACATAAAGTATAGGCAGACAGAGACTGGAGGTTCAAGAGCTTAAAGCCATCTGGCTATTAATTCTTTTCGAGCTGTCAGATCTGTGTTTCCCTTAGTATCCTCTGCTGTGTTTCAATCCTAAAGGGTGCAGCTGGTGGCATGGAGGTCTGAAAGAATGGCCTGCCCTGGTTCTGGTTGGATGTGGGCCCAGCTTTAAGATGTATGGCCCCTGGTACCTGTCTCAGTGATGAAGAGTACCCCCACCATCTTCCTACTCACTCTATCTGTCTTGTGCAGAGCTGAGGTATTTATTAACATATAGATTTTGCAGCAAAAATTTGAAACTTACTGCTAATGCTTACTGCTACAGACCTAAATTGAGGTCCTTATGGGGAACCAAGCTTATAAATAATACAGAATGAGGTTTTTTTTTTTAATTTAAAAATGCAGAACATTTTCTGTGAGGAGTAGGTTTAAGTGTAGGGTTAGTGTAAGGGGATAGAAAATGTTTTTTCTACTGTACAAACTCTATGCTGTACATGTCTATGGAGAGTCCCCACAAAGATAGCAAACCAGACATTGTGTGTGTGTGTGTGTGTGTGTGTGTGTGTGTTTTCACATAAAAATCTCATATGATCTGCAATACTTGTGCTTTTGTGTCATTTTTTAACTTGGGTGTTTCAGTCTCACTTTGTAATTGCATGCACTCTTAAAAATAAAGGTAGCAGAAGAGCGTTTTTGCGGTGATGTTGTAAAATAACCATTTTTGTGTTCCTCAAAGAAACTTTCAGTGAACAGTTCTTTAAATAACCATTTTTTCTTTGTGTGAAGAACATTTTAATAATCTAAAGAACCTTTTTGCACTATAAAGAAACTTTTGTGCAATGGAAATGTTCCATGGATGCTGAAGGTCCTTCACTGAACCATCGATGGCAATAAAAACCTTTATATGAAAAAGTGTGGCAAAAAGAATTCAGAATTTCTTGCATGTAGGTTGATGAATTTTGGACAATAAGACCAGAAACATGTATCAAAGCAGTAAATAAGGCCAATTTTACATTTACATTTAGACATTTAGCAGACGCTTTTATCCAAAGCGACGTACACATTAGGAATTTTGATTTCAATTTTGATTTCATTTGGAGAAAGATGTAACCTGGTGTTATATGTGTCTTTCAGATTGTTAGTGGGAAGACGGTGAAGGACACAGTGCAGGAATGGAACAGGTATCGGAACGAGTGCATCATGAAGATAAGCTCACAACCCACCACCTCGGGTAGGCTTTAGCTCATCCCATCTGTGTGTGTGTGTGTGTGTTCAACACTGGAAAAGAGTTAGTTGAGATTTACTATGTCTATAAAGAGAAGGAAACACACAGAGAGGAACATTTTACTAACCACTCTAAATGTTTGTCATGAATCTTTTTCACAATATAAATCTTGCTTTCCTAAGGAGTGTCAATAAGGATAAGGTTACACTTCTAACATGGAATTTGAAAATTAGATATAAAATTTCATACATAACGTAAGCTCTGACAGGAGTACATAGCGTTATTAAACCTGTCTGGATCCGCTTCATATTCACATTGTCTATTTTCTCCATTAGGTTTGTTTTGCAAAAGCATGTTTGATATGTACGCTTGTTGGACAGATGGAGTTCCCAACACAACTGTGAAAGTGCCGTGCCCCTGGTATCTGCCTTGGTATGATCAAGGTATGGCTGCCAATAATAGTGCCTGTTGGCACAGTAAAATAAAAATATGCTTTAGAAATTTCATGCAGTACCCCATATACATTTTTTTAAAGAGCATCTTAAAGCTTAAATGGATAGTCTACCTAAAAATGAACATTTTGTTATCATTACTCATCCTCATGTCATTCCAGTCATGGATGACTTCTGTGGAACATAAAAGAATGAAGAAGAAGTATATTGGTAACCAAACAGTTTTGGTTCTCATGGACTTCCATTGTATGGGCAAAAAATACAATGGGTCAATGGGACCCGAACATGAGGGTGAATAAATGATTTTCAAAATTTTCTAACATTTGTTTATCTTAAAATCGTCTTTTTATCTGTTTATTTTAAATCTAATTATGGGATTTTCTGCATAAACCATGCAAAACCTGTTGGTGCGATCCTAGGGTGCTGTAGTTGGATGTCATGGCATTTATATGTGGTTTCTAAGCTATTCTGACTTTTTTTGGGGGGCAGTTTATCCTCTACCAGATTAAAACCATACACCCTCAGAAAAAAAGGTACAAACTAGGGTGGTACAAAAGCATATTTGTAACTTATTTATTCTTAAATAGTACATATTAGCACCTTAAAGGTACATATTTGTACCTAAAGTGTGCATATTAGTATTTTATTATCAGCATTAGTACTAATACTAAATACTTTTAGTATTTTGAAAGGGTACTGCCTCAGTGACAGTTTTGTAACATTTTTTCAGAAAGTGTTGGACTCATTTAACGTGAGTGAGTGACGTGACATGTGGCCAAGTATGGTTACCCATACTAGGAATTAGTGCTCTGCATTTACCCATCCAAAGTGCACACACACAGCAGTGAACACACACACACCGTGAACACACACCCGGAGCAGTGGGCAGCCATTTATGCTGCGGCGCCCGGGGAGCAGTTGGGGGTTCGGTGCCTTGCTCAAGGGCACCTCAGTCGTGGTATTGAAGGTGGGAGAGAGTGCTGTACATTCACTCCCCCCACCTACAATCCCTGCCAGTATGAGACTCGAACTCGCAACCTTTAGGTTACGAGTCCGACTCTCTAACCATTAGGCCACGACTTCCCCCCCATTTAGAACAACTAACCATAAGAATGAGCGATAATGGTGCTTTTGTTAGCGCATCATGAGATATGCTGTTGGTTATAATTTACATGACAGTGTTCGGGCAGCATTGAATGAATAAAAAGGTTCATAGTGGACTCTCAATTATTAGACATGTTTGAATGCAGTAACTCAAAGATCTGTTGTCTGTTACTGTCCTCTGTAGTGCGTAACGGGTTTGTGTCACGGGAATGTGGTCCAGATGGCCAGTGGCTCACCGTCAACGACAGCAGCACATGGAGAGACCACTCACAATGCAATGCAGATGACAGCAAGCAGATAGAACAGGTAAAGACTGTCAGGGTTGGGGTGAAGGGAATATATAAAAGACTATAAAAAGGGAATTTGCACTTATGGAACAGCTGCGATACAACATTTCCTTGGTTACTGCTATAAACAAAGTAGTGCTGCGCTTTTAAATACTACATTAATATACAGGGCCGTCCTTAGGGGGGTGCAACTGGTGCGGCTGCACCGGACTGAGGGGGACCCCTCAGAACTTGATCGCGAATGGACCGAGGGGGCCCCCTCTTCCTACCTTGCACCGGGCCCCGCGTCAGCTAAGGACGGCCCTGTTAATATACATTATATGGAGGTAAGATGAAAAGAAAATACCATCTAAACTTTTCTGAAGACTGTCAGTTCCCCTCAGAGATGTATATAAACTCCCAATTCATTATTTAGGATTTTCTTCCAATATTTTGCATTGTGAACAGTGTTGTTGCTCTGCCTGCTAACTTTACAGTATTTTCTCCTCTTTGCGTTTGTCTTCAGCGTCTCTGGCTTCTGTTAATGTTTACAGTTGTTTTATTTGCCCAGTTAAAGAATTAGTTGTGTGTTATTAATAGTTCTCTAACCATTAGTCAGAAGTGTATGCAGTTAACAGGGATTTCCTCTCAATTCACGACGCTATGTTGCTTAGCCACTTTTACCGGTATGACGTTTATTTTTAAATTCATACCGTGTGCATAATTCAAACCGATTTACCGTTTTAACCGGTATATTGCCCAGCACTATCACCAAGGTTGTATTTTTTTTTTTTTAGCAAAAATTCAGTAAAAACAGTAATATTGTGAAACATTATTACAATCTAAAATAACTTTTTTATATTAATATTTTATATTAATACTTTAAAATGTAATACATTCCTGCT